ATATATATATACAGATATAGCTAGACAGATATAGAGAAGTTCATCATCGAAATACCATGAGGTAGATTAAGGTGAAATTATGTATTATTTTTGCAACAGAGAAAATTTTTCATAATTTCATTGAAGCAACAAAGACCCCATCCTTTGACTTACTTAGAATTGCTAACAGAATAGGCAGAGCCTTTGGGAACAGTGCTGCCAAGTGACCTGGTAAAAAAGTGCTGCTGCCATTATCACTGTGTGCTTACAGAGCAATATGCAAACAATACCTAGTCCTCAGAATAGCTTAATGATTCACATGTGAATATTCACTGTCTTTTAAATGGGGAAGTTCATACTGAAAGGTTAAATGCTTTGTTCAAAGCTTTCAAGAGAATCTGTGGCAGAGATTAAAATTCAACAGTTGTGAGCGCTGGACCCTGGTGCAAACCATAGGTCCAAGGGAAGAATCCTCAGTGGTTTTGTCATTAAGCTCCAACATGTTTCTCATAGTTGGATGAGCTGTTAGAAGTTCAACAAGTAGTAATTTGCTCAAACAAATAAAAAGCATAACTGTGATCTTCAGATGGGTGAGGGGGAAAAAATTCACCATGAACAAAAATGTTCTTATACTAAAGCTACCCAAAGCAGTGGCCTTAGTGACATTTGAGTAGAAACAACAAAAAGCTTGCTCTTGTGCGAGATGCACCTGCACAGATATTTACTTAGGGTTCAGATCAGCTTCTGAACTGGTGGTGGTTTTCTTCCAGATCTAAATCTTTTGTATTTTAACTGTATTTTGGTTATAATGAAGACACAAAAAAGCAAATATTGTTCTGGGTGTGGTTTTTTTCCTTTAAATAGGTACCTTTCAGAGGTAACGCGGATGCGTTCATCATTAGATGATTGCTGCTCATCCTCTTTTTCCTGGAAGTATTCTTCTACACACTGCTCTTCGAACTCATACAGCTTTTTTAGCTCTTCATCATTCAGAAATAACTCTGCAAAACAGAAGAATGAAATGAGTTTCCTTTTTCTGAACTTCTGGCAGTCAATTTAAATCCAATTTAGAAGACTATTTTGGACATACAGATACTGCAGATTCTACTCCTGCACTAAATGAACAGATGATTTTGTTAAAAAGGAACGAGAGCTTAGCCAAAGATGGCCACAGCCCTGAAGGCAATGTAATGCATTATGACCATCATCTGCTTTTATGGCTATCCACCGGGGGCTCTATTTTCTGAATCACATTTGCACTTAACAGCAGTGCTGTGCATTGAACAAACTGACTAGATTTTACAGGATAAAGACTACAGCTATCTCTGCCAGTTTGACTGTTCCTTCATTTAAATGTTGCTCTTAAAAGGATGCCAGTTATAGGCAACATATAATCTGACATAACAGATTGTTTCCCAGACATTCTTCAGATAAGAGCTTAAAAAAATTCATAACCATGTGAGGAAAATCCAAGGGAAACATAAGCTCTTAGGAACATTTAATCCTTTATTTGAATTTGTCTCTGTATTTAGAAGGAGAGTTACATTTACTTTTTCTGTTTTTTTTTTTTTTTCCTTTTTTAACTCTGAGGCATATTGTACAGAAATATAATTGCTTACAAAATATGTTTCTAGTGAAATGTAGAAATACAGGGATAATTGTGAGCATCAGATTATTTCAATGAGGTATATAATAAAAATAATAATCAGCAATTACAGAGTATGTTAGGAGAAGAACCCTCAGTTCCCCTGTGAAATGACAGATAAAGCTTTACAATGGAGAAATTAAAGTGAGGATACTCTTAGACACAGACTACTCACAATCACAGAGCTGACACCACAAATGACATTTAAAACTGATCCCTTCTTCTCAGTTTCCTATTTGCCCTTCCCAACACATGGACTTCACTAGAACTTGGTAAAACTGGATTAAGTAGATGCCATCTCACGCATGTTAAAGAAAGTCTTCATTAGCAGCTCAGCACCACATAATCTCAGGAGCCCAAGGAGCTCAAGAGCTGTTAACTTGATAGAAATTTTGTCTCATACTTTCTTCTGCAAATACACTTGACCATCAATGTGAACAAAATAGTTCAGCATTGGAAAGCTGCTGCTTTCTGCTAATACGGTGCAAACGGCTCAATTTAGAAAAGATTTCTTGCATACTCAGTCCCCTGTCACGCTCATCCTGGTCTCCTTCACCCTTCTTGCAGCGACAGCAGATTCGCTTGATGATTATGTAGATATGGCTGAAGATAATCATTGGCGGTGGGAGGACAGGTCTGTCATGGAAAGTCATGATCAGCTGGTACCGCTGGAACTTCCAGACTTGGTTGGATATTGATTTTACCTCAAAGAAGGTATTGCTGAAAAGGAACATAGGTACATAGTTTCTGTTAGGCCCCTAAGTTTACTTATCATTGAGCAAGTACTATGTTGAAAAAAGGAGCAGCTAAATAACAACATGAGGTCACATGGCTTGCTTGGTTCAGCTCTTTGTTGATGCTGCTGAACTAATGATTAACCTGAACTCATGATTTCACTACTCCTTTTGAGGGTAGCAAAGCAGAAGGTGCTTTAGGTGTTAGTGAAAATAATTTTGCACAATTTATGAATCACATAATTGTATTTTGGGGCTTGGTTATAAAGCATTTCTTTTAACACATGCCAGTATTTGATATTACACAAAGTATTAAATCCTTGAAAGGTATTTTGTATGCTAAACCCAGAAGCTTCACATAACTTGCCTTTACTATGCTAATCAGCTTGACCTACATAGAAGACTTCAAGTTTTCACAAAATGTCCTAAATTCAAACTTTATTCACTCAAACTTCTGACTTGAAAACATGGTGCATATTCTTGTAAAGGAATTTGTTCTTGGAAGCCATGGCTTCATAATTTCTACACCAATACGAGGTGTGTTATAAAGATGTTTTATTTTGTAATTCAGTGGATATGAAGGACTGTAAGTGATAGTATTCAATCCAGAGATACAATAGTCAAGAATATGAAATACCAACTAAGAGAAGGCAAACTTGATGTTCTGTCTTAGATAAAGCTTTTCAAGTTATTTTAAAGTGTGCCGAGACAGCTCACTCCACTTCTATGATGATGACATTGGCACTTCCTTTTTTATATTTTCTGTCCACTTCTTTTCTGACTTTTTGTGCTTTATAATATCTACATTTACAAAACCAGTTAAAACATCTCTTTGAAACCAGAGAATTCTTGAGTACACAGAGCTTTTGGTTTCTTTTCGCTAAGCAGCCATGAGATTATTTAACAATAATAAA